AATTAGAGGAGGGTGAGGAGGGTGAGGAGGAGGAAGAAAATGATGATGATGAGGAGGAGGAGGAGGAGGAGGAAGAAGATGAGGAGGAATAGGAGGAGGAGGAGGAGGAGGAAGAAGATGAGGAGGAATAGGAGGAGGAGGAGGAGGAGGATTAGGAGGAGGGAAGAATAACTGCGTTGGAATAGCCGAACTAAAAAAAAAAAAAAGATCTGCCACGTGCCTCGTTGACATTAGAGGACGAAGAGGAGGAGGAGGAGGAGAAAGAAGATGAGGAGGAGTAGGGGGGGAGAAGATGAAGAGGAGGAGGAAGATGAGGAGTAGGGGGGAGAAGATGAAGAGGAGGAGGAGGAGGAGGAGGAGGAGGAGGAGGGTGAGGAGGAGGGAAAAGATGAAAAGGAGGAGAGTGAGAGAGAGAGAGAGCTGGTGGTGCCTACCGCCATCGCCGCCCGGCGCACTCTGATCGCTGCGTCCCGCCGCTCCCTCCCGCCGCCGAGTGCTGGCACTGCCGCTGCCGCCCCCTCCTCCCTCCTTCGCCGTCGTCCTCGTCGACAGTCCTCCCTCCTTCGCCGTCGTCGTCCTCGTCGACAGTCCCCCGTCGTTGTCCTTGTCGGCGGCCCTCCTTGTCACCCCTCCTCCCTCCTTCGTCAGCCCTCCTCCCTCCGTCGTTGTCGTCGGTCGGCCGTCACGAGCCTGCACACGAATGGGCAGCGCTGACTTCGAAACCGGCCCCGCCCGAAGTGTTTGTTTTTTGGGGGGAATACCTGCAGAATTCAAATTCGAATTCTGCAGACCTTTCCCCCCCAAAAAAAACTTCACGCCGCGGGCGGGGCCGGTTTCGAAGCCGGCGCGGCCTGTTTTTCATTTTTGGGAGGCCAGGGGGACACCAAACTAAAACCCCACCCCCCCCCTTTTTTTTTTTTTGTGACCCTATTTAATTGAGTGCGCCGCACCGGGTGCGGGGCGCTGCGTGCGCAACTCGTGCGCTGAGGCGCGCACCGCGGTGCGCCACAAGTATGGTTTGGAGGCGTTGTTGTAGGACTTTTATTTCTGAATGCTCTTCCGGCTGTAAGTCTGGATTATTGTGTGTGTTATTTACTGAGTTGTCTGAGCTATCTAGCCTGTCCTGTTGCTCAAGTTGCTGCAATTGTTGGTGGATATCCATTTCCTGCTGATAACTCTTGGCTGCGAGTTGTTTTGAATATTCTCGACATTTCTTCCCCAGATAAAAGAGACCATTATTAAACCAGTCAATCTGATATGGAATATATTGTTTTTGTGTGTGCCAAAAAGCCCAGCAGTCCCTGACGTACCTTTGGAATGATTGACGACATAAGATAGATACGTTGAGTTTATAGAAGCCCGACCCCTGGTCAGGCTTCTTTCGGAATGATAAGACCACTGTGCACATCTTGTGGTCAAGACCCGGATACGGACTGGCTGGTAGTATTGCCGCCAGCAACAATGCTCGGACCAGGTGCTCCGAGAGTAAGATCAAGTCTATCCTGGATCTCGTCTGACTGTCAGTCCCAGTCTTACGTAGACAAGAATAAAATCCCGTGTCCGGGTTGAGTCTCCGGAAGGAGTCGAAGATGTTTAGTGAAAGACTTAAATCCCTTATCATGCGCTCAACTTCTTCAACGTACGTTGGGGCGGGGGAAGGGATCTTCCATCTGTCCATCCACCGATCCGCATTATAGTCCCCCGCCATAATGATCGGGACTCCATCTGGAATCTGCGTTTTGATCTGCTAAAAAAACGTTCTTCTTTCGCTCACAGTGTTGGGGCCATAAACGCACAGTATGCACACGATTTCTAGCTCCAGAGTGACCAGGACTGACACCCATCTGCCCCCTTCCTGGTCCATTACCCAATGCACCGGGTCTGCGCGGGACTGGGGGGGGATCCAAATGGCCACCCCCGCACTGCCAGGTCTCGGGGCATGTGCTCTGAACGCTTTGTATGGCCAGACCATTTTGTGGATGCGGTTATGTTCCGAAGAGTCCATCAAATGGGTTTCCTGAATACACACTACGTCAGGCCAGTCCCTGCCCCCCACCCCTCTCATCAGGTCCCATATTGCATTCTTCTTGTCTGATTTACACGAGGCCAGACCGTTTACATTCAAGGACCACAGGTCAAGATCCGCTGCCCGGCGGCATTGGTTCCAGATACAGTCCTTCCCATATACCGCTCTGACCGGGTCAATTCCCATCATGGCTGCTGGTTATTCACAGGCAGATCCACGACAGTTGTTCTAAGTCCCAGTCCGCGGCACCCTTCCGAAGGCCCAGTCGGAGAAGGGCGCATAGGCACTTCTGGACATCCTGTTCTGTCCAGATCTCACCAGACCTAATCCTAACAGTCTGCAGGTCCAGCAGTTGGGCAAACGTGTGCCATCTCATGCCCGCTTCTTTGGCTGGGTCGTAGCGGATGAAAACATCCCTTTGCGAGATTCTGTCAGGGTCAGTTGTCACAGAGGTTGTAGCTTGCGCCCCTGGTGGCAATGATTCTGCAATATGTGTTTCCAACTGCATCTGCAAGATCCCGGTTGCAGCCGCTGTTTGGCTGCATTGTGCACCCGCCCAAAAGGAGGACCAACTCTGCACCGTCACCCCCCCTGGTTTGCCGTTTTCAACAGGTGTCAGACCGATCTCCCATTTTTCGCATTTTTTCCGGGCCTGAATCAGCAGCATTGCCGCTTGCGACAGTGGCCCCTTGTCCTGGCCCATCTCAATCAAATGCCTCAGCTTTCTTCTTCGCAGCAGGTCCAGTGGCATGTTCTCGTCAAGGTCCGGGGGTGCCGGGTCCGGCGGGGGGGGCGGCGGCTGAAGGGGCAGCGAGGATTGTGAGGATTGAGGGGCCTATGTCTCACTTGCCTGATCATTTACCTCTTCAGTTTGTATCCCACTGTGCCTCCCTTCCTTCACTGTGGTTGAGTGAGGAGGCTGGAATCTTGCAAACACTATGGTAGCTACTTTGTGCCATGCTTCTGTCCACCCGACGCCGGGTTGCAGTCCGTTTTCCAGGACATTTTGGAGTGAGGTGCTCGTGTCAAGCATGGGGAATAACTCAAGGTATGTTTTGTCCCAGAATTCGTCATCAAGGGAGCCATATTTTGCCTTCAGATTAGCCATCAGCCAATCTGCGATGGCTACCAACTTCTGCTCCGGAGGCCGCTGCGACGGCGGGGTCCCTTCCTCCTCCACTTCCTCACAGGACAGTCCCCCTGGTACTGCAGTCGAGTTTTCCGGAAGGGGGTCGACTTCCATCAGCTCCGGGACGAAGGCTGCCTGGAAGGGGTCGATCTCCATCATCTGACTCTGTCTCCCCTCGTCCTGAAAGCTCCTCTGTTCCGTCTCTGCTTCTGTTCTCTTCCTTTCCTTCGACCTTCCTGTCAACCTCCCCCTGCACCCCTTGTCCTCTGGTGTCCCTCGTTCTGGCTCCACCCCCATTCCTTCCCCTTCCGCCTGCCCCCCACTCTCTAAGCCCGGCTGCTTAGGGGGATTGTTTATTACCTCGATCTGCATCATCGTTTCGTCTGTCCCCTGTCGCCCGGCCTTCTCACCCTCATCACCTCCCATCTGTTGCGAGGAGGGACTGATGCTTCTTTCAAACCCTTTTTCGTCCCCCTCCTGCATGTATCGTGCTGCAGACGGGCCAAGGGCAGCACCGGGGATCATCTCTTGTTTGTCCTTCTCCACCGGTTTCGGTTCAGGTTCTACTTGTTGCTTTTGGACCCAAGTCCCTTTCCCTCCCTTCTTTCCTACACTCCTCCAGCCCGTGTCTTCGGAGATCCGTTTCAGGGGGTTCAGTCTTGTCTCTTGCACCTTCTCGTGCACTTTCTCTTCTACTGGAGCCGGCGGAACCCATGCGTCCAGAGAACGTGTATCTGTTGACTCCCATATTGTGTCCGATGATGACCTTCACAAGATTTTTCAAGAAGGTGCTTTTTCAAGAAGGCTCTGAGTATTACTTGAATGGGGGAACTGCTGACATGCTCCAAGTGCTGACAATCGGACTTCATGAGTACATTTACAGTACAAGAAGTCGTTGGCTAGAAAGCCCCAATCTTCTTCTTCTCTCTCGTCTGTTTCTCAGATGTTGAACAGGTGGTGTTATGCAATCCTCATGCATCGGCAATCTAATGCATCCTTGTCTTCTTGTCCTGTGAGCCAGCCTTGCTCACGTCGTTCTACACATGCTTCCTTGCACAATCTTCAACAGCAGTTTGTTATTGTCCGTGTGGACATCGTTTAATTTGGCAATTTGCTGCAAGAATTCGTATTTATTTCATCTTACTGACGATTTTGACTGTCACACATGTGCATGGAACCATCCTTGGGGTCACGCCCATAGTGATATGTTGCCATATCTCTACCATATTCTCACGCACATAAATTTCCTGTTCGTTGCAGCAATCTTAGAGTCAAACCACAATACAATCTGTCTGCTCCTCCACATGCTTGCCCTCGTCCAACAGTTGTGCAATTCATGAATGGCCCCTGACAAGTCATTGGGTAGCACAAGGGTCACTTCTTCCAGAGGCTTTTCGGAAGCATTCATGTCGAGTGGCTATCTCATGAAAAGATCGCTGTGGTATACTGAGGATTCCACATGGCATGTGCCACCAACCAGGAAACGACCATCAGGTCCAGATAGGGAAGGTTAACTTGGTGGGGGCGATCAAAGATTCAACCAGCAAAATCCATCAACCCCAAAGTTACATGTGTCGTTGTTGTAGATAGTAGATACTATCTTCCTCTACGACAGGAATGGCGGAATGCTGTTCTCTGGCACACTGAGGAAACGTTAGAGTACACGCAAGATCCTGTGCGGTGAACCAGAAGGGAAGGATCCATGCCAGTCAGGGATCCTTCGACCAAATGGAAGGATTTGTGCGTGTGTAATTGTTGTATGTCGGGCGGCTCAGAGGACAGGAAAACTCCCGACCCCTATCTATGATATTGCAGTTGGGAATAGGAAGCGGACTGATGCTTTCCAGAATGGATAAGAAAAAAGGAACAGGATGGGGGATGGCACTCCCCAGAATAGAGCAACGCGAAAAAAGAAAAAAGCTCCAGATGGAAGGTGGATGGTACCTTTCCAAATCATAGTTATATAATCTCATGCATTTGGTCTCTTGCAGGTACCTTGACACAAAGCGGAATGCCTTCCCTCGCTTCTTCTTCATATCTGATGAGGAACTTCTTTCCATTCTGGGTACATCTGACCCAACCAGTGTTCAAGAACATATGCTGAAGCTATTCGATAACTGTGCAGCATTGCGCTTCGGTCGTGCTAACAAAACGGTAATGGGTATGCGGTCATCAGAGGGTGAGACATTTGAGTTCCGTGCTGCTGTCCCAGCAGAGGGCCCAGTTGAAACATGGATGACATCAGTGGAGGCGGAGATGCGGCGTACACTTTTCTTCATCTGCAAAGAGTCTGTGTTCTACTACGCAAAGTCTGTCCGCAGCAGATGGATTAAAGACTACCTTGGGATGACAACTCTTGTCGGAAGCCAGATCTGGTGGACATGGGAGGTGGAGGATGTGTTTCGACAGGTTCGGGAAGGGAACAAACTTGCCATGAAGCAATTCAGTGCAAAGCTAACAGAGCAACTAAATGAACTCGTTGGGATGGTGAGATCAGATCTGGATGATCTTGAAAGGAAAAAAGTGAATACACTTATCATCATCGATGTCCATGCAAGAGACATTATCGACGTGTTTGTTCGTGATAGTGTCCTGGACCACCGGGAGTTTGCTTGGGAGAGCCAACTGAGGTTTTATTGGGATCGGCCAAGCGATGATATTCTCATAAGGTTTGACTGAATAATGCCCAACTTTCACTCATTTTTTGCCGTGTTCTCTTCCAAAACCTGTCACATCATTTCCTCTTGCTTTGTGCTGAATCCGCTAACCCATGGGGCAATTTGCAGGATATTGTCACCATTCTGCTTACTGCTGCAGCACAGAGGCTTGCAGGATTCAGAAATTGTAAGTTCAGACGATGCGGTATCAGCACCCACCAGGCACTGACCTCCATTTTCTGGAAGCTGTGTAGGCATTAGCACCCAAGATTTATGCCGTTAATCAGAACCAGGAAACATCATTCAATCAATCAGTGTGCGCATCCTCCAGCAATCATGCATCGTTCACACTTATAAAAGGAAATATTCCTTCTTTTGTCCTCTCACCTTGGTCTCTCTGCTGAAGTTCGTCAGATTGCTCTCGTCTCATATTATTGGCGTTTTGTTTTCTGGGTCAGATCTTTTTAAAGCCTAGGCAAGATTCAAGGTTTGAAGACTCAGGATCTTGAGATGCTTGAAGTCAAGTAGAAAAGCATGACAACGCTGCAACATGAGGGAATTACTCCAACAGATCAAATGCAGATAGGGTGTCAAAATTTCAGAAACCTGTCACATCACAGGCAAAGCACAATTGGCTTGCTCAATCATTCTTTTCTTGCCTCTTTATTTATGGTTCACAGCTTCTTTTAGCTGCACATTGAAGGAAAAAAAAGGATGGAAAAGAAAGTGAAGAACTGATATGGATCATGGTTTTATGCTTGTTTACTATTTGTGTGCAGGCAGTGCACTGGAAAGTTTAAATATGGGTACGAGTACATGGGTTTGAATGGGCGCCTTGTGATCACTGCATTGACTGATCGTTGCTACATGACCCTGACAACAGCTCTTACTTATCGCCTTGGAGGCGCACCTGCAGGGCCAGCAGGGACAGGCAAGACAGAAACAGTGAAGGATCTTGCTAAGTCCATGGCATTGCTCTGTGTTGTATTCAACTGTGGTGAAGGACTGGATTATAAGGTGCGGCACTAAATCATTGAGAAACTGTCTTAAAAATAAACTGTGATATCAGCAATGTCTTCCTTTCCCTGGCCTGGGAAATCAGCAGATTGAACAGTGAAGGCCGGTTTCGGGCTGATAGGGGGATTACGTTTAAAGGGCTTCCCTTGCGGCATGTTTTCCAGAAACCTGAGGGGTTTTCCCTCTAACCATCACGGAGTATGGCATAACTGGGTTACAGTGCTCTCTTTGCTGGACGATTTGGGAATAAGGGAATACGGGCACCCTGGGCAATGTGCCTATTGGCTCCTGAACCGGACGATTGGCCAGTGGACCTTCTACAGGGACCGGTACAGCAGGCCAAAGTACTTCAGATTTTCTCCACCACTGGATTGATGCCAGGATAAGATTGGCGGGATCCTCTTCAGACTTCCCGGGCCACCGGTGGTAACTTGCGGCCTTTAAATAAGGACTGTTCCTGGTGTTTCATCCTCTCACTTCGGCAGTGCACTGTAGCGCTGAGCCTTATGCTCGCTCCTGGCGACCTTCTATGAGCGGTCTGTGAGGATTTTTGAGACTTCAGACTGATTGCCGACGCAGAAGGGTTCTGGACGAACGTGCACGAGGCACCCAGCCGAAGGCGTGTTTTGGATCCTTCACTCTCCTCGACTGAGGCTTCTTCTCCCTCAACTTCCTCTTCGTCTGTTTCTACATTCCTGACAAGATGGTTCAGGACAATCTCCTTCAGCCTCTCTCTCTCTCTCTCTCTCTCTCTCTCTCTCTCTCTCTCTCTCTCTCTCTCTCTCTCTCTCTCTCTCTCTCTCTNCTCTCTCTCTCTCTCTCTCTCTCTCTCTCTCTCTCTCTCTCTCTCTCTCTCTCTCTCTCTCTCTCTCTCTCTCTCTCTCTCTCTTTGTCTGTCTCGCACAGGTGCATGAGTGAGACACATTGAGTACGTGGAGCTAGGGACTTGAGAGCTTCGTGACTTCGTGGGAATTATTTAAAGGAGTTTGACTCTAGGATGCAGTACGCGCTCGATTATCTCCTGACGATATCGCCACTGGCAGGGTGATTGAAACGATCATAGTGCCATTGTTCTTCGCGCGTACTCTCCTCCATGCTTTCTGTGTTTACACTCTTATGATCTCCTTTTCCCTCCTCGTCCTTGCCCTTGTCTTTGGTATGTCTTTGCCTATGCTCTCCCTTCTTCTCTTAACCCCCAGTCTGTCATATGACCTCGTCTATAGCTTCCACCTCGTACTCTCCTATGTTTACGCTCTTGCACTCTCCTTTTCCGCCTCCTCCTCCTCCTTGTCATTCTCTTTGGTATGTCTTTGCTTATGCTCTCCCTTCTTCTCCTAACTCCCCAAGTCTTTCACCGCTCTCCCACATTGCCAGTCTGCTGTACACATCTTCTGATCATGTTTCCCTCATGCTTGCCTGTAACCACTGCGTTATTCGTAGAATGGTGTAGGCGCAGGTGGCTATGCGACCAAAGTATTCTTTGGCTTGCCCCCCACCCACCCCCTTTTTCCTTCCCCCTTTCTCTGTTTTTTTTTCTTCACCTTCCTCCTTTTGTATGGCATCGGTCATCTACTGCTGTCTTCTGATCCGTACACCCTCTTATGAGCCCATCGTCATCCAATCCTGTTTTGTTGGATGTCTGCACTGTTTCATTAACCAACTTGCTCGACGACTTCCTTCTCTTCGGACGGCTCACGTCTGTTCCGTTACGACCCAGGTTCGATATGGTTGATGGTGTGCAGTACCTGGCTTATGAGTGCGTCTGTTAGAATTGCAGATACCTGGGGCACTCTCCCAAAACTGCCCCTATCCGAGTCAAGATGGGCTGATTTCTGGGGTCCCAGTCAAGCGGGCGTCAGCTAGACCTTCCTCGTACCCACCTTCACGTATGCACATGCAGTGTATGCTCTTTCTGCACCACCCATTAGCCAAGCTCCGCCACCTCAGTCTCAGCGGCCTGGCTCCACATCCAGCTCTCGGACTTCCAATGCAATCATTCGCTACCGGCCGATTACTCCACCTGTTGCTCCCTGGCCTCCCAGGCAGAGGCACAACGATGGTGAGGTGGTCTCTCTTCTCAGAGAACTTGTGAACGATGGCAGAGAGGAGAAGTACAGAAGACTCAAAGAGGAAGAGCGGTGATGCAAGGAGGAACAAGCAAGGATTGAGGGCACATGCTATAGGACCTGTCTAATGACCGTTGAGTTTAAATACTCAGTTAGTTCACTCTGCTACTAATGGTAAAGTTATTATTTAAATGATTTACCTATTTAGTATTTACATAGTTATTTATTTGAGAATTTCCTGAGTTCCCCGGTTAGAACACAGGGACTGTGGCATTGTCGAGTTTTATCAAAGATAGCCGCAGGGCCAACTTCCTCACAAGATAGGTGGGCACACTGGATATTATGCTGTTCTAGTCCTACTGATCGGGATCGCTGCACGAGAGAGACAAGGCACTCAGGTAGTAGCTATCTGAGTCGAGTGTTCCAGTAACTAGCGTGTGTGCGTGAAGGCTAGCGATTGGTGGTGCAAATAGCTATGGTGTGCCGAAGAGGGCTAGAGGGCTATATTCCAGAGGCTTGGAGGTTTCTAGCGTGTTGGGTCCTAATATGGGGGAAAGGCCCTTAGATTACGACTATTCTGAATTTTGATGGCAATGAAGCCAAATTAAAAATTAACGTTGAAGGAGGTCGAGAGGAAGAGATGAGGGGAGATCAGAAATTGCATGTAGCAATAACAGAGGTTCGACCCCCAGACATCACCAGACTCCATCTGCAATATGGTTTCGAAGAACTGGAAACCGTCAAGAGGCAGGGACAAGAGGACAAGGGAACCCCCCAGAGACGAAGCAGACAAAAAGAATGAACAACGTCAACTCACCTAAGAGATCGCAAGTGGCAGCACAAACAAAATGACTGTTTCGATCAGTACCAGGACTACAAAAAATACCAAAAGGAAAAATCCATCACACTCCAAATGATCGCGGAAGGCAAGGCGCCCCACATCACAAGATCAGCAAACACGGACCGGAAGGCCATCAGGGCGGTTTGTCTGCTGATCCCCGTGCGTTTCATAAGCAAATTAAATGAGTCGCAGGTGGCCTCCGATGCCTCTTTCGCATTCCCCACACTTGATGACGACTGGGCCGTGGCAAGGAACATAAAGGAGATCATTTCCACTGAGTTCCTGCTGGGGGTATACGGGGTTCCTCCATGAGAACTAAAGTGGAGAAAAGAGCTCAGATTCGTCGATCCTCACCCCGTTCAACCCCATCCTGGTCATGCTCGATGAAAAGGCAAAACTCAGCGAAGGCCTGACTTGGAGGGCATGGAACACGATCACAACTCCCGTATAATGTGTTGAACGGGAGATTTAGTACGACTAAGATGGGGGAGGAAGAAGACAACATGGAGGAGGAAGATGAGGAGGTGCTGGGATTGGGCGACAAGATCTCCCCAGGGGGAGACACCGAAGAACCACACAGCACAGCAAAGAGTAGCACAGGAGAGTACAGCATTGGTTCCTCTCCAGCGAGGGACGAGAGCAGGGAATCGGACACTGAGAGCCGCAGGACTGAGGCAGCAGTGGACTGAAAAACGAACCCCAAACACTAATTAGATCCTGTCGATACAAGTAAAACGCACTGCAACATCCAAGTCAAGAAGACAACCAAGGAAAAGAAAAAAAGAAAAAAATAATAAAGAGGGGGAGGATGAGTCAGACAATGTCGAGGCTCACGAACACTAGATATGGACAAGCCAATCCACCAAAGACTAACTGGCATGCCAAGGGCCTCCAAATACTTTGTTGGAACGTCAATGGTCTAGGGAATGTCTTAGCCAAGGAAGATAAAATCAGGGACATTCGGCTCGGTCTGATAGGAAAAGATCGTCCCAAACCCGACGTGATACTACTTCAAGAGACCCACCTATCAAATCTTAACAATCACACCTAAATACAAAAAAACATGGAAAAGACAGTAGGTGGGTGCGCCTTCGCCCGATGGTCCAACAAAGAGGGTCTGAGTATGAAAGGAACTGCAATTCTCATACCAAGGACGTCCGAGATTCTGACTGAAGGTCAAATCTTGAACAGTGAGGGAGACAACGAGGAGGGTAGATAGTCATGGTTAGACATAAGATGGCAAGACGAAGAGCTAAGAATCCTCAACCTGTACGTACCCAACGCAGAACCCGAACGACTGATTTTCTTTGAGAACAACAAACCTCTTATTCTCAACCCGCAACCGGTTATCATCACAGGGGACTCAAACACAACTCTGGACCCCAACTTGGACCGGATCTCTAAGACGGTATTATTGGGTCCCACAAGAGTGGGAACTCAAATACGAAATCTGATGACATAATATGAACTCATCGATCCATTCAGAGCGTTGCATCCGGACAAAAAAACTTTCTCCCGGATCAGAAAGAACCAAGTCAATCGGACCTCATTGTCCAGAATCGATTACTTCCTGATCTATAAGAGCCTGCAAGTTGCAATCAAGGAAGCTGAAATACGTCCTTCGGCCGCCTTTAAAGGACTGGACCACAAACCTATTCAGCTGTTGCTCAAAATTTCAACTCACCAGTCGAAACATGACTAGGTTGAACAAGTCCCTCCTAGCTATGGAGAGGCTGTCCATAGCGGTCAAAGAAAATTGGTCCATCCAGAAACAACGAGAATTCAGACAGACAAACAGACACCAATGGTTCATCGTCAATTACGCGGGCATAACACGAACAGTATCGACAAAATCACGGGGCATAGCGGGGGATCGCAAAAGGAGAAGGGAAGAACTCCAATTCGCCATCTCAATTGTAGAAGTTGACCTAGCAGAGGACCCCTCCAACGAGTTCTACAAGGATCTACTAGCTGATACTAAAGAGGAACTAAACGAATGGAGAAGATGGGACTTGAGAGGACTGCAAATACGCGTCAGGATGATGGACTACACACTCGATGAAACTATGACTAAATTCTTCTTCCCCAGAATC